CAGGCAGGGACTAGGGAGACTCTGTTGTCCACTACAGGAGCCACCACTGGCTAGGTGGCCATGTGGTGATTGAGAACTTGAAATGTGGTTAGTCTGATTTGAGATATGCTGAAGGTATACAGACTACTCTGTAAAAAAAACAAAAAAACCCAAATGCATTTTGTCATTAGCAAATTTTTATGTTGATTACTTGTTGAGATGCAAACAATGTATTTTGCTTATATTGGATTAAATGTATAGTAGAGCCCCTGTATGTTGACCATTCAAGGGTCAACTGTAAGGGACTAATCTATATATGGAGGTGGTTAACATAAGGAAGTAGACCTTAATGGTGCATGTCTGGTCTATGAAATTTATGTCAGCTTGAGGTGGTCAACTGCAAAGGTTCTACTATATTAAATCACAATCTACTGCTGATGTTGGTTGGTCCTTTCGATGCACATTAGGTATTGGAAACTTACTGATCAGCCTCATCCTGTCATGTGCCCTTTTTCACACAAATGGAGTATTGAAATCTGAGCAGTTGGGTGGCCTTCTGGGGGCATGTCCCTCCACAGACTGGTGGGCAGGGGGTTGAGGGAGGGTTTGTATATGCATCTGCTTAGGCCTATCAACAGTTCTCTTATAATCTACCTTTTCCTTCTGAAAGGCAGTTCCACCAAACAATAAAAATCAAATACCTCTAGAAGGGCTGGTGTTGGTTCCTACTGAGGGTGTCAGCTGAGGTCACCGAGGTGGAAGTATGTGTCAGATCATTTTGCTTCTCCACATCTGCGCTCTGACCATCTGGTCTAGTGGGTTTCCATGGATGCCCACTGGGAGCCCGAGTGGCTGTGGGAGAGAATGGGAAGCAGAGGGGAGGCTAAGGAGAAGTAATTGATTTCTTTTTTTCTGTAAAATTCTCTGCCTGTCTCCCTTTCTTTTGAAAATTATGTAGCTTTGCCAAATCATGTGAATTCATTGCCTTCTTGGGAGTAAGGTGGGAACTTGAAATTCCCTCCATGGACCTTGGGGTTGTCAGAGGGCGAGCCTGACATGCAGATTGAGATGGCCTCTTCCTCAGGATGGCTTCCAGAAGGCTCTGGGTGGTTTATTTGCTATGTGGGTTCTGCTTTTCCTTGATGTTCTTTGTAGAAAACACCAAGCAGGTCCTCTTCAGCATTGCCCTTGGCCAGGACTCTCCCGCGCTGGTATGGGGCCACATTGTTTTCATGTGTTCTTGGTGTCTTACAGTGACCTTGCCTTTTTTGGTTTTATTTTATTTTATTTTTCTGACCCTTTCTTCTAAGGCCCCCTCATTTCCTTCCTAGGACCTGCAACAATATCTCAGGATTCTGAAACTGACATGCTCTAGCTCATTTCTTTTGTATGACCTTCATAGATAAATAGGAAAAAGGGTTTTGTGTTGTGTTTATTTTACTACTACTCTGAGACTGCTGTAGTGTTGGCATAGTCTAAGGGGTCTGTCCACTTCCGGTCCATTATATCAAATGATTCTGCTCCTGTTGTAATGCTGCCCTTCTCAAAAAATTTCGTGGCTCCCCCTTTCCTTTGAGGTAATATTAAATATCTCCTCTTGCACTCATGGCCCTCTGCAAGACGATTTCATTGCCCTTCACGTTTTTTAAAGTTTTAGACTTTTTAAAAAATTCAACCCAGCAAAACTGGACTACTTGATGTTCTCTGGGCTTAACCTACATTTTTCCTCTTCAGTGCATTAGCTTCAACTATTCATCTCCCTTCCTGATGAGGAAAGCCCTACCTGAAATGCTACTTTGCTGAGAGCTCTTGCTAGTCTCCCCCCACACAAGAAGTGATCTCTCCTGCTTTGAGTTTCCTCTCTCGTGGCATGAATCACATTCTTTGGCAAATATTAAAATAAATCTGTCTATAGAATAGTTTTGGAAGAATACAGAAAAAATTAGTGTAGTGCCTTTGAAGACAGGATCTAAGTGCTGAGGAGGCAGGAAAGGGGCTTACCACTGTACATCCTTTTTGAATTGTGTACCATGTATATAGATTTCTTATTAGTTTGGGTTTTTTTTTCCTTGGAAAAGTATTATTTAAATAACAAACACCTGAGCTATAAAATGTCACAAGAAAATATTAGAGGGTATGTTTACGTTTACAATCTCAGAGTAGAGAAAAATGTCCTTTAAATAAACTCAAATCCTAGAAGCCATAAAGAAAACGAGTTTTCAGTACATGGGTACATTTAATTGTCATATTCCTATTTGGCTTCAACTACCTGAAGTGCATTTTATCCCATCTTCAGGCCGTAGCACAATGACCTCTACACAGTAATCAGTAAATACTAGTTAAGTTGAAATTAAATTGAAATGCAACTTGCTTCTGTGTAAGCCTCATTTTTTTCACTTATGAAATGAGTACTAGGTGACCTCCAAGGTTCTCCTCAAAGATTCTGTGGAGATGGGGGTTTTATGGGCAGAAATAACCAGCAAAGTAGGAGTGAGTGACTTTAAAATCCGCAGCTCTTCCTCTGAGACTATCTTTCCTGGCACATTAGACTCATGTGTGGGTCCTGCCTGCTTTCAGGAGCTGTCCTAGGGTGCTCAGCATTAATTATGCTGAGTAAGTGAACCAATTAGAAACAGTTCAAGGACAGCCAGGGAGTGAGGGAGGTCTGTGGCAGGCTTGCTGCCCTGAACAAAAGAGGGAAAGTGTAAAGGGTAAAGACGGTTTGCTGAGGCTTCTCAGGGAACCCAGCTGGCCAGCGCTCTGAACCAGTTGGCCAAAGTTTAATCCTGTTCCAGACCCTGCTGGTAGGACAGAGTCGAGAAAGTATTTCCTTAGAAGGGACTGAGGGGGCTTATTTGGGCTTGTGTCCTAGTTTCAGACTTCTCTGGATCCCATAACACCTACCCAACTTTGTTTTTGTTACTAGAATAGCTTTTTAAAAATGGAGTCTTCTAGCCCTCTACCTCAAGTAATCTGCAGCTTGAGGGCAGAGGGCTTTCATCTCTTCTTGGCTTGGTGCCCACCCCCCAGCCTGGCTGGCTAGCTGGCTGGCGGGCAGCTTGCTTGATAATCAAGTGTAGATTGCAGGAAGGTGTCTTCCATAGAGAGGCTGTAAGGGCATGTCTGTGTGGTGGTGCGGGCGGGCAGTCTTGTTGGCAGAGGCGCGCCTTGTCTGGGACAGTCAGGCTGTGTGACTCCCAGTGTGCTTCTCAGGGGAATCCCTCTGAGGCCAAGAGTCTGCATTTTTATTATACTGTGGAGCCCTTTCTGGCTTTGGTTTTGGAAACAAGGCCAACACTTTTCCCTTACAGGTTTGACGGTACTTTATTCCTTTTACTCCTTTCTTCCAGGACTGTTAGAGGAAGTGAGAAAAAGAAAATGACTGTTCCTATTCTTATACGGTTGTCCTTGTGATATTCAGGATGGGGGAAGAGTATGTGTCAGCAAAATCAAATTTCCTTTGGAATTCCAAATGGTGATTCCTTAGCACCCTCACTGTTCTGTTCTGTTTGGGCTGGGAATACCCAGCAGTCCCTTGCCTGTAGGCTTCAGTTCTGCAGTGTCTGTCCAGAGTGGAGTCAGAGGCTAACCGCTTCTCCTGAGGGCTACTCAGACCTTCCAGCTCCTCTGACTTACCAGGGCTCCTCCCACCTAGGCACTGCCTGCCATCTCCCAACCAACAGTTTGAAGGGAGAGAGGCGGAGGTAACTTTGATACAAACACATCTCAAAGCTCACACAGCTCATGGGATAGGAGTGGTGGTGTCTGCAGGTGGAGAGTCAGAGGGCTTGACTCTGATCCTAAGCCTGTTGTCTACCCTGTAACTTGGCTAAAAGTCACTTAACTTTTTGTTTTTTTTTCAGAGACAAAGTTACACTGAGTAGAGTGCCGTGGCATTGGCCTAGCTCACAGCAACTTCAAACTCCTGAGGTCAAGGCAACTGCCAAACACTGGCTAATTTTTCTGTTACTATTAGAAACTGGGTTTGGCTTTTGCTCAGGCTGGTCTGGAACTCCTGAGCTCGAGTAATCCTCCCACCTCAGCCTTCCAGTGCACTAGGATCACAGGCATGAGCCACCTTGCCTGGCCTTAAAGTCACTTAACTTTCATGGGCCTCAGTGTCTTCATTTTCAAAGAGGAGAAATGATAACTATCTTACAGAGTTGTCAGGACAAGTAAATAAGATAGGAGGTAAAGGTACTTTTAAAATCAGGCCTACTGGAATGAAAAATGAGGGATTTACTGTAGGACAGAGACAAGTGATGCCAGTGAGCACTGAAGTCACAGAATGGAAGACACACAAGAGGCTTGGGAAGCCACCTAAGAAATCTATCAGGAATCCCTTTTGAGACCAAGGGCACACATTTTAACATACTAGGGAGCCCTTTCTGGTATTGGTATTGGAAGCAAGGCCAACATTTTCCCCTTACAGCAGTGGTTCTCAGCCTGTGGGTCGCGACCCCTTTGTAACAATGAAAATACATCCTGTATATCAGATATTTACATTACAGTTCCTAACAGTAGCAAAATTACAGTTATGAAGTAGCAACAAAAACAATTTTATGGTTGGGGGTCACCACAACATGAGGAACTGTATTAAAGGGTCGCGGCATTAGGAAGGTTGAGAACCACTGCCTTACAGGTTTAATAGTGTTTTATTCCTTTCACTCTGGTTTATTGTGTGTGTTAGTAGGTTTTATTAAAAACATACTGTGTCTAGATCTCTGTAGGTTGAAGACCTCATTAGAGTCCGCTGTTCAGTAATGGATGCAATTTTCTTAAGGCACAGTGGATAGGGAGAGGCAAGTGCCTCCAGCAGTGAGACTTCCCCTGTTGCCTTGTACTCCCTCTCTGGCAGGGGCCACCTGAATTTCCAAGGTTTAGTCAACAACTTTCCAAGGGAATGACTCTTTGCTCCTTGTGTGTTTCCTGTTAAGTCTTTTAGCACTGCATCATGGAAAGGAAATTGCTATTGGACAACCTCACGACTATACCACTGCACTTTCTCTGTGTCTTTGCAGTATGCCCTCTGCCACCAGAGCCAGAGAATGGTGGCTACATCTGCCACCCGCGGCCTTGCAGAGACCCCCTGACAGCAGGCAGCGTCATCGAGTACCTGTGTGCTGAAGGCTACATGTTGAAGGGCGATTACAAATACCTGACGTGTAAGAATGGCGAGTGGAAACCAGCTATGGAGATTAGCTGCCATCTCAACGAGGGTCAGTCTGGACACAAGAAAGGGATGCTGTGGGGTTCTGCCCTCCCATAACTCGCGGGAAGTGGTTCATGCTCCTCTGGAGCACCCTTTGCTGCAGGGTAGTAGCCTCCCTGATGTCCTTTGGGGTTTCATATCTTTGTGGAAAACATTTGGAGGTGCTGGTGTGTGTCCTGTCACATTTCACTGGGCCACCAATGAGCTTAACAGTTTAGCGGGGCTTCTGCCCTGCTCTGTAAAGCCACTTTGATGTTCAGGATCTCTTGTTTGCCTGGTTACCAATGTTGGTAACCTTTGACGGTGTTTGGTTAACACAGTGAGCACAATGCCAACACCTTCTCCAGCGTCTTTTTCATTTTACTGTTCTTTGAATGGAGATGGACTGTTTTGTTATGGAGCGATTGTCCTACTGGATAGAAGATCTCTGCCCCTTCTTCCTCCTCCTGTCTTGCATGACAGGAAAATCCAGCTACCTGCAGGAAAATGTGTATCATACGGGCCGTCTTTGTGCTTCACACTCAGGCCTCAAGACCAGAACATATTTAACCCATGACACCCCAGAGAAGGTGGAAGCCAATCTGAGATTTACAAATAAAGCCATGGGACCTTAGGGCCTTAGTACATCCCAGTTCGTATAAGTTATCCTTCCACATGGGGAAAAACACGAATGGTGGAATGATGTGCTTCTTTAAATGATTGTTTTACCAATTTGCTGTTGAGGATGGCCTCAAAGTGATTTATAAAGGTAAAATCTCTAGCGTTGAGTAAGAATAGATATCAGATGGACCTCAAATGTTGGGAGTGAAGGGAATTTTTTATTCAGGAAACAGGAGCACCACGTATAGGTAGGTCATTCTACACTGTCTTTCCTGAAATGACCCTGACCATAGGGTGTCTGTGTGCATATTTTAACTCAGAGCATTTGGTAGGATCCCCTGTGGGGCCCTTGTTTTATGTATCTCGGTACAAAACCCTTCTGACGATGGCTTGCTTTTATAGAGAAAGATACCCACACATCACTTGGAGTCTCCACGCTGTCTATAGTGGCTTCCACTGCCAGCTCCGTGGCATTAATTCTCTTCCTCGTGGTGCTGTTTGTGTTACTGCAGCCAAAGCTGAAGTCCTTCCATCACAGCAGGTGAGCCCAGGGAGCAGGGGAGCCCCGGGCAGAGCTCCTGTGGGCAGCCTCTGGCTGGTAGAGGTTGCTGGTGATTTGCCAGCCTCTGCTGGTCTGTGTGCCCAGGGAAGGGGGAGGGCCCTGCCACGTGTTTAAATTCCTGGACGTGCCTGACACTGTATTTGTTTCTTTACACACATTATCTTAATTCTCACAGGAACATTGCAGATGAGGAAACTGAGGCTCAGAGAGGTTATGTAATTCACTTAAGGTCATATTTCTAAATGATAGCAGAATTGAGATTAGAATGTGAATCTGTTCAAACCCAAAGCTAGGTCATTTCCCTTAACACAAGTGATTCTCAAAGTGTGGTTCTAGCAGCATTGGCATCATGGAACTTGGTATGAACACCTATTTTCAGGCCTTGTTCTAGATTACTGAATGATAAACTCAGGGGCTAAGGCCTGACGAGCTCTCCTGGTGATGCTGATGCATCCTTCTATTTACAAGCCATTGCCCTATACTCCTGGTTCCTAGTCTTGGCTGCACATAGAGGCACCTGCGGGGAGTTAAATATTGACACCCGGGAGTTAAATACTGACACCCGGGCCTTCATCCTTACACATTGCAATTTATGTGGCTTAGAGTGGTATTAGCTTTTTTTTTCTTTTGTAGAGACAGAGTCTGGTTTTGTTGCCCTCAGTAGAGTGTCGCAGTGTTACAGCTCACAGCAACCTCCAGCTCTTGGGCTTAAGCAATTCTCTTGCCTCAGCTAGCACTACAGGCGACCACCACAATGCCTGGCTATTTTTTGTTGCAGTTTGGCCGGGGCCAGGTTTGAACCCGCCACCCTCGGTATATGGAGCCAGCACCCTACTCACTGAGCCACAGGCGCTGCCCCATTATTAGCTTTTTGTAAAAGACTTCTCAAGTGGTTCTGATTTGCAGTTAGGACTGAGAACCACTGCACTCTACTGATGAGAATCAGAGAAAGTGGCTTTTCCTGCCTGCGTTTTTGGTGTAATACATTAGCCACCAATCATCCTGGACTGGGGGGGTGTGAACAGGAGAGCCCCCAATGCTGCTGGCCCTGGGTGGATTCCCAGTGATGGACTTCTCTTCCCACTGTCAAGGCTTCTGCAGTTGCCTACCCTGGCAGTTCCTCATTCCCTCTTGACCAGTATGTCTTTATATTCATCAGAGCCTTTAATTGGTCACTGTCCTAACCCACAGGCATGAAGGTTAATTACATTTGAGGCCGGGCTGGGTGGCTCATGCCTGTAATCCTAGCACTCTGGGAGGCCAAGGAGGGGTGAATTGCCTGAGCTCATAGGTTCAAGACCAACCTGAGCCACAGTGAGACCTTGTGTCTAAAAATAACTGGGCATTGTGGTGGACGCTTGTAGTCCCAGCTACTTGGGAGGCTATGGCAAGACAATCACTTGAGCCCAAGATTTGAGGTTGTTGTGAGCTATGATGCCATGGCCCTACCGAGGGCAACAAAGTGAGACTCTGTTGTAGTTAAACTACATTTAATAAAATGTTCTAGGTTTGGAATTGATGGATAAGGACCAGGCTAAATTTAATTTCTGTGTAATATATGTGATTTTTCTTTCTTCCTTTTGTTTTTAGGGAGGGGTAGGAGTTATTTTTAAAGGTTGTTAATCAGTAGAATAAAGAGAATTTGAAAGAGATTTTTAACTCAACATAATCAGTTCTTTTACTTGATACAATCAGCTATTTACACACAAAGTCAAAATGATCTATTCCATATTTCATCTAAATTGAGAGTTTTCCTCACTTTGTAGTTACACTAGTAAGTCAGTTAAAAGTAACTGGTTAGGCCAGACACAATGGCTCACGCCACTTTTTAGGGGCCACTGTTCTCCTCACTGTGTGTACATTATTTGAATTAGGTAGCACTGATTTTTATCTTCAAGTATAGGGAAGGAAATTGAGATCTAATAATCTAAAAACAATGTAATGGTTCAGCGATAGATGATGTGTATTTCTTGACATGATGAGCTGAAAGGACACATCACCTGTGTAATGCTTTTGGCAAAATTGGTCTGAATCCAACTCTGATGGATTAGACAAAATCCAGATTGTGGGACATTCTGTGAGACAGCTAGCCTGGACTGTTAAAAAAGATCACCAATATCATGAAAGAAAAACTATAGTAGACTGTTATAAATTAGAGGTAGAAGAGCAGAACAGCTAAATACAATTCATGAACCTTAATTGGGTCCTAGATGAAAACAAAGAAGATTGCAGCTGAAATGAATGTATTTTGGGCTAGCTAGGAAAATTTGGGTCATAGTATTATTCCTGGGATATAATAATGTTGTAGTTATATCTGAGAGGAGGTTCTTAGGAGGTGCATGCTAAGTAGTATCTTCACTTTAGTTGTCTATGTCTGTGACAAAAGTGATCCCCTCAAAAGGTGTCTGCATGAATAAGTCTCACACACATAATGTTGAGTAAAAGAAGCCAGAGATATGCAGTCATGTATACTCAAAAATTTTTAAAACAAAACTGTAGTATCAAATGATCATGTTTAGGTGGTAAAACTATTACAGAAAGAAGCCAAGGGATGATTTCTGTGGAAGTCAGGATAGTGATTGCTTTTTGTGAGAGTAACTGGGAGAGGTACAAGGGGCCTAAGGGGTGAAGAGCATTCTATTTCTGGATCTAGGTGGGAGTTTATATCAGTCTTATCTTTAGAATAAATCTGTGAACTGTATGTAGATTTTTCTATGTTCTTTCCTATATTTTATTATAATTCACACATAATTTTTTTAAAGTTTACCAAGTTTCAATGTTTGAAGAAAAAGTTAAGCACTGTGGCTGAGTTGGAAAAATAATTCTTTTGACTTGCAGTCCAGTGTCCCATTTTAAGACCACATTGCTCCTCCCACTTTTAAACAGCTGTATGGACCTATAATTCACATGCCATACAATGCATCCATTTAATGTGTGCGGTGAATTTATATTCACGACTATATACCACCATCATTCTCTCTCTTTCTTATCTTAGCTGTGCTGAATGCATGTCTTTATTTTCAGATTGCTAGGCTCCTAGTTTCTGTACAGAGCCAGGTGTTTGTGTACCCAGAGATTAAGAACACAGTCTCTGGAGGCAGATGAAACTGGGGTCAAATCCCAGCTCCATCCCTTGCTGTCTGTGTGACTGTGGGCAAGTTACTTAACTTCTCTGAGCCTCATCTCTATTCTTGATGAATTCCTACCTGAAAAGGCACAGGTAAGGATCCAGTGTGATAAAATGTTCAGAGTACTTATTTCTGGTACCTGACACGTAGTAAGTACTCAAAAATGGTGACTGGTTTTGGTATTATTACGGTATATTTATTTATCTGTATGTTTATTCTCATTTTTCCTTTGTCTTTTCTTTTTCTGATCCAGGCGTGACCAGGGAGTATCTGGGGACCAGGTCTCCATCATGGTAGACGGAGTCCAGGTCGCATTACCATCATACGAGGAGGCAGTGTATGGCAGTTCCGGTCATTGCGTGCCACCTGCTGACCCCAGAGTGCAGATTGTGTTGTCAGAGGGGTCTGGGCCCAGTGGGAGGAGTGTGCCAAGGGAACAGCAGCTGCAGGACCAGGGAGCCTGCTCCTCTGCAGGTGGAGAGGATGAGGCCCCAGGCCAGTCTGGACTGTGTGACGCCTGGGGCTCTCGGGGCTTGGAGACTGTGATGGTGCATCAAGCAACCACTTCCTCCTGGGTGGCCGGCTCAGGGAGTAGCCAACTGGCACACAAGGACACTGCAGATTCAGAGAACAGTGACATTCAAAGCCTTTTATCCCTCACATCAGAGGAGTACACAGATGGTAGGTGGTCTGAGCTGCTTGAGATCCTTGCCGGGAGGGAGGAATTACTGAGCCTTTCTAATAATTGGTGTATTTTCAGCAGAGAAAGATGATACCTGGGGTATTAGCCTATAAAATAGGATTTTACTCTCTCAGTACCAGGTGGGGCCGTGGGCACTCTAGAGAGAGACTTTTCACTGTTGTCTGTAAATTTGTACAGTTTAGGGTCTCTCATGCTATTCATGGTCACAGGGCTGTGCTGAATCAAAAGGTAGACAGTTGGTTGAAGGTTGGGGTGGGAATCTGTTCTCTTGTTATAATTTTTATGTTCCTGAAAGGTCAAGAATGACAAAGAGGCATGGGCTTGTATTACAGAGAAACCAAAGACCATCTTCCAGAGCAGACAGCTGCTTCATTCTAAACAGATGTGTTCCAGGTACTATGCTAGTTATCTTGCAGCATCTCAGTTAAACCCCACAATAATCCTGAGATATAGGAATTTATTACTACCCTGATTTTATAGGTAAAGGAACTGAGGCTCAGAGAAAGTAAATAACTTGCCACACTGATAAATTACTGAGCTGGGATTTGAAGCCAGATGAATCTGACTCCAAAACTTGTGTTTTTAAACCCATGGTACCATGCTTCCTTTCAGGGTGATTCCAGCTTATTTGTGGCACACAAGCCATAGAATGAAATTACTGTCTTCTGGTGGCTCTGCCTTTGCTGGAGCTCAGTTTAACCTTGGGCTTGAGTCTGTCACTTTACAAAGTTATCTTTAGGTGAAATCCCAGTGTAGTCCAGGATGCAAACTAATCCTAGATGTCCCTTTTGGTTGTGAGGACTTCTGTATTCATAGAGCTTCCTTCAAAGAGCCTAGGAGGAAACTTCATGATTCCTGAATATCCTGGGCATAGTAGATGTCTAAGGTTTAGAATATCTGAAAGCAAAGAGGTTGGAAATTATTACTTATTAATTTATTTTTTTTAGAGACAGAGTCTCACTTTATCACCCTTGGTAGAGTGCCATGGCATCACAACTCATAGCAACCTCCAGCTCCTGGGCTGAGGCGATTCTTTTGCCTTAGGCTCCCAAATAGCTGGGACTACAGGTGCCTACCACAATGCCCAGCTATTTATTTTTGTTGTTGTTGTTGCAGTTTGGCTGGGGCTGGGTTTGAACCTGCCACCCTTGGTATATGGAGCTGGCGCCCTACTCACTGAGCCACAGGTGCTGCCCAGGTTGGAAATTCTTGAATGCAGACTGTGGAACTTCTTGGTTATTAACAGCTTGCTGTCTTTTTTATTGGTTGGCTGGAGAACTTGAAGCAAGTGATCCCAGGGACCTCCAGCCATACCTATTGTTAGACAACTTGAGTGCACATTGCAGTCCTAACACTCCCAGGGAGCCAAGATGGGGCCCTGTTGTTTCTTCTCCCCATGTATTTAATAAGCATTTTTGAGAGCCTATCTTGTGGCTGGTGCTGGCTTAGGTTTTAGAGTTTGATACAGAGAAAAATACAAAACATGCCCCCTGCCTTCATGGAGTGCCAGTCATTTCCCTTCCTTCTCAAGTACAGGGGGACGTGTAGAGGTAGAAGAGAGGGAACAGCTAAATGCAATTCATGATCCTTAATTGGCTCCTAGATGAAAGTACAGTGGGATCTGTACTTGAGAAATAAGGGAGCCAAGAATTGTAGGGTCTGTGTCAGAATGAGAAGTTTAGAAAACAAAACACATACACCAATGAGTTCATCGCAGGCCATACTGGAGCTGTTTGGGACTGATAATGTTAGGAAGTCGGGAGCTTGAGTCTCTTGACATATGAGGAAACTGAAATCTGGAGAGGGGAAGTGATTTATCCAAGGCCACACAACTGGTAGATGGCTTTAGAAGCTGGTAAGACTTACGCAGGGCCTTGTAGCCTCATATCATAGGATTAAGAGAGAAAAGGGATTTATTAGACCAGCAGAGCTAAGTCAGAAGAGGGTTTGTGTTGGTGGGTTGAATGCCAGACTGTAGGTCCAGCTTTTATCATATAGGCAATAGGAGAGATGAGCCAGAAGGGCCTAAAAAAGAGGCAGGGAATTTTTGCGTACCTAGGAGTATATAAGGGGACATTTTATTACTTTAAATTAGGGGCTGTCTGTGAGGCCCCTGAAAGGAGATTAGGAATGTTATGGAGAGACCCACATGGAGTAACCACTGAGTTTTCCTTCCCTGTCTTCCTGCAGATATCCCACTGTTGAAAGAAGCATAAGGGCTGCGGCCGGCTCCTCCTCTCTATGAAGGTCCTCTGCCCTTCTCCCTCTCTCTGTGGGTTTGAGCACCTTGTACTCTCCAGCCACCCTGCCTGGGTACCTGAGCTACCACCTGTGTGTCTGTGTATTTCTGAGGGCCTGCAAGCCCACCTCGCTGGAAGCTCAAGGAAGATTCTCGCCATCTGCCTGCTGGACAGCTGGAGGAGCTGGCTCTGCGCCTGGCCCAGCCTTGCCATCTGTCGGGGACAGATTTGAATGTGCTGGATCGAGCCCTCCCTTTCCCTAAGCCTCTGGGTCCCCTCCAACCAGCTCTTTGGCGGCAGCCCTTGGCTCACGTGGGCTGATGCTGCCATGTTCACCGTGCCTTCCCCACCCTGCCCAGTGTTTTTTGTCATGTAGGCTTGTTGTGTCCACAAGCCTTGTGGCTGCGCTGCCGCCCCCTGCCACACAGGGGCCAGGCCTGGGTCTGGCCTGTTATTTCCTTTGAGGGCTGTCACTGCTGCCATTTGCAAGAGCAGATCCAAGAGTGAGAGCTCTTGAGTCAGGAATTGGCTCTAATAGGGACGAGAATATGTGTCCTGGACTGGCCCCAGGTTGACACTGGTGGCACATTTCCTTGGCTGAGGATGGAAGATTTGGGAAATTATGCCAAAGCTGCCCTAACACCTGGCTGTCTGGCTCAGAGGTGCAGCCTCCTGGCACTGTTGAGTTGAGAGTTTCCCGGAAACATGCAGAAGATCCCGAGGGAGGAAAGGCAGGTGGCTGATGATGATTGTCTTCCTAATATGCAAGTTCTCACTTCCTGCTTCCAGCATCTTTTCTGTTTCCCTGGAGCCCAAGGGGAAGTTTCGTGATGCCTCCTGGGATGTATCCCAGACAGATCTGGCTTCTGTGCTGCTCACAGGAGCCCACGGCAGGAGAGTTGCTGTGATGCCCTGGAGTGCCCAGCTAGTCACTGGCAGTCTGGGCAACTTGCCCCTATCTGGGTTTGTGGTGACGGAGGAGAGGCCGAGAGGCACAGACTGAGTCCCCAGGCAGCTGCAGGCAGCTCCAGCCTGGTTCTGAGGATCCTCCCTACCACGGTCACGTGCCTTAGTAACTATACCCGGGAAGTGGCCTGCTGCTTGCTGTGCTGCTGCTTTTCATACTTTTCTGTCCTTCTCTGCCACCACTCCGCATGTCGCAGTTGACAGGAGACTCCTCTTCTTCCTTTGGCACCCAGGGACGAGGGCTGAGAAACAGTTCATCTTCCCTCATCTTACTGGCCTGAAGCAGGTGGAGGGGCATAGAAGAGGAGCCCTGGCTACTCAGCCACATGTGGGATGCTGACAGTGTCAGGTGTACCATCTCCGTCAGGGTACTGTCTTCCGAAGATAGATGTGGCATTAAGGAATGTTTGTTTTTGCTTTCTTTTTTCCCCTGAAGTACTGGGGCTGGGAAACTTCGAAACTGACTGTGTGCATGTCTGCTCCTCCCCCAGCCTCTCTGCTCAGGCTGGTAACAATAATAAAAAGCCCTGTGTATTTTCAGTTCCTGACCTAGCAGGGTTAGCTGCAGGCGTGGGTGGCCGGAAGCCTTCTCCCAGCCGCTGCCCTCCCCTCCTGCCTCCCCTCTCACACAAGCACTTTACCACTCAGTCGCCCCTGGCCTTCTGCCGCATGTAGTCTTCCTTCCTTCCTCTCAGGGTAAGGGCAGTGCCTGCTGGGCCTGTTGGCCACCCCCTCCCCAGGAGCTCTCGTCCGCTGTGCCCAAAGCCTAGGCAAGCGTGGTTAGGTGGGAACAGGTTGGAGAAGGTGCTAGAACTAGAGGGGGGTAAGGCTTGTTACAGAGAGGGGTCCCTAGTGGGCCTAGCCACCTTGCCTCCTGGGCTCACCTTCACCCCTAGTGGTGCCCTTGTCTTCCTCAAGAAAACAGGGGCAGCTGGGGTGAGGGGGAAGAATTGGAGACATCACTGCTGAGCTTTCAGCTTTGATTGTCCACTTTTCCAAAACCTGAATTCTATTCTAGAATATTTTTTAAAATAGAAGACCTTATCCTTTTCTACCTTGTTACTCTGGGCTTTTCCCGCCTAAGAGATTGCACTTTTTGTTTGGGGTTTTTCAAAGCCTCCCAAAGCCTCCTTCCCCCTCACCCTCCACTGACACCACTCTGAGACATGAGCCCGCCCAGACATGCCCACTGGTAGGAGAGTAAAACAGCAGAACGGGGGTGGGGGGAGCTTTAGCTTCTCTTCCCTGGCTCCTGTCACTGGCTTTGATGAGCCCCCCCACCCTGGAGGCTCCTGGGCCTGTAGGTGTGGGAGCTAATTCTTGTGTTGCCGCCGGTCTCCTTTGACAGCTTCTTGCAGTTACTTCTCCCCTCCCAAAGCAATTTCTTAACCATCAGTTATCAGCTGTTTCTAGGGCTTCTGGGCTTTGTCTCGGGTAGAGGGATTAGAGACTCCACCGATGATGCCTTGAGGTGCGGCCTGGCTAGGAAACCAGGGCTGGTGTCGCATGGCAAGCTGTTCGGAGGGGGGCTCCAGGAGGGGCCCGGAGAAGGTGGGGAGAAGCTGTGGCCACGGCCCTGCTTTCCTGGACTCACTTCTGCAGGGTGGAGGTCCAGTAGAGGCTTGTCTAGAAGCAATGGTCAGGACCAAAGGACTTTTAAAAGGGTGGTGGTTTTTATTTTATTATTTTGGGGGGTTTTTGCACATTTGAGCTGACTCAATGCAGGTTTTATACCCTGGAGACTTGGGAGTCACATTCTAGTGACTTTCAAGGGCCAGAATATGGTGAAAATCACTTAAAATTTCCGTCCCCTCCATGCCTTAGTTTAGCAGCTTGGCTCTATCTGTTGGCATTTCTGTACTGTGTGCTGTGTTCCCATTTCACTGGGTGTAACTGTGAAATGGGCTGAGTCCTGGCCACTTCATTTGGTTTTATAAGGCATTTCCATGTCTATTTGGTAAGCACTCCATTCACAAAGAGAACTTGAACTCATACTGTCTTCCACGTTTATTGTGCCCTCCTCCTCCCACCCCCAGCTTTAAAGCTCTGTGGAGAAGCCAGATGGTGAGATAGACAAAGGTATATTTTTCCTGCTTCATTGCTAGTGGCTTGGGGATAGTAGCATTCAGCCCTCTCCCTCCTAGTTCCAGATGAACTCTCAAACCACTTGCTTTCCACATGACAGTTTCGCCTCCATTTCCAGGGAACGTCCTTACATAGAGAATGGAATATGCTGCGAACATTTCTACATCCTTATTCTTCCCCCCTTCTCAGAAAGAAAAAAGGGCCTTGAAGGGAAGTGGCACCCAGGCTCCACAGCTTAATTCCAGATGTGCTTGCTAAGGACAGTGATGCTGGGATTATCTTTCATGGGCCCTGCCAGGTCTCCTTGCTTTCACCATAGGGACAGCCATAACAGGTACCCCAAGGAAGGGCATGGAGAATATTCTGCTTGGCAGATGTTTGATCTGAATGGTGCAGGCATGGGTTTCCTGGAAAGGGGGAAAGGTGGCAGGCCCAGCTTTTGGGGGGAAGCAACTCTTAATGTCCAGTTGAACACCTAGTAGAATTTAATCAAAACCCAAGATTGAGCCCTCTGCCCAGCAGCAGAGGCTAGCTGGAGAGAACACAGGGGCAGAGCACTCAGATTGCCAAGCAGGGAGGAGAGATGGGTGCAGGTTGCGTGACACCCCCTGCACCCTGCCTGGCCTCTTCAGGTTTCTGCACCACTGTGGAACCCTTTGCAGAATGGTACTCATACAATGGTTTAAACAACACATGCATAATTGACTCTGTGCAGGATGTCACTCAATCAGTTTGGATTTGCTTTATTTTATTTCATATATATATTTTTTTGGTATCCTGTACATTGCAGTGGGTGTGAAGATAGTATTTTAATATTTGTACAAAGTTTAATTTAATTGTTCTATGTATATAACTGCATTTCTAAATAATAATTAAAAAATGTTCTTATGAAGTTGTAGCAGATGTGATACTTCCTGAAAGTTTTTGTAGAAACCCTACATTGAAAAGAATGTATCTTGTCAGGAGCTCATGATGGGATGAGACACTAACTCTTGGGCAGGGGGCCTGGCAGGTGATGGAGGAGACAGAAGGGGAGAAGACCCTTCTCCCCTGTGGTATGAAAAGGAAAGACCACAGACTTAGGTGGAAATCACCTCCTTGTTGTCCAAGTGTGCTGAGTGCTGGGACTCAGCAGTGAACAAAACATTGTGGTCCTGTGTGGAACTTTGGAGTCACTAGGAAGGCAGACAGTAACAAAAGTGTGTCCTGATTGTTAGGATCAGGGATGCATAAGGTCTGATGGGGCAGTTAGAAAATGCCTCTTGCCTGAAAAGTCACTTAAGCTGTGATGGGAAGGCCCGCACAGTGAGGCCAAAGGGCAGGTACTCGTGTGCGGGCACAAAGGGAGCAGAGAGCACATTCTGTTTAAGAAACAAAAAGGGTCACTGCATTGCAGGGCTGAGGGAGGAGTGGCTTAGGAGGGGCAGGGACCAGATCGTGGTGGCCTTCACCAGCCATTTTGGCAAGTTTGCACTTCATCCTAAGGGCGATAGGAAGCACCTGAACAATTTTAAATAGGGTAACTTAGATCTGCATTTTCTTTTGGGGGGGAGCTCTCTCCATCTGCATGGGGTTAGGGAGCTATAACACAACTATACCTGAAAACCATGGAAGAAGTCACGGATGGTTTCCACTGGGGTGATGACAGCAGGGGTGGATTTAAGAGATACTAATGAAGAAGGTGGAATCAAGAAGGCTTGGTGGCTGGCTGCACGTGGGAGGCCCCGCCTCTGACTCCAGCAGCTGGATGAGTAGCAGCACCTTTCTGAGATGGGGAAGTGGAATGACAGTCTGGAGAGAGAAGTGATGGGCTCCGTTAGGGGCATGCTGAGTTGGAGGTGTCTGATATCCAAGTGGAGATGTCTACCAGACAGGTGGGTATTGACACCTAGAACCCCAGAAGAGACACCAAGCAGATGAGAACTTGAGCGAGAAGAGGAGGAGGTCATCTCTGGAGGAGACGGAAGGTGGGAAAGACAAACACTGCTGAGGAGGTCTGAGCCATTTAGCCCACTGGGTTTAGACATGTGCAGCAGGGTGGTGGGGACATTCCAGATCAGAGAGGCTTGCAGTAGGGGAGAGGATGTGGACCATGAAAAAAGTAAGGAAAGAAATAAGGGGTTAAAAGAGATGCTTGTTATTTTTAATAGGGAGGTTTTGACACATCTAAATGCCAATGTCCACGGGAAAATTAGGAATGGGGGTAGTGGTGGTCCGGGACAGGATCTTGCTCCCTCAAAGACAGGACATGGGAAGGCCGGGCACGGTGGCTTACACCTGTAATCCTACACTTGTAATCCTAGCACTCTGGGAGGCTCAGGCAGGTGGATTGCCTGAGCTCATGGATTCAAGATCAGCCTGAGCAGGAGCCAGACCTTGTCTCTAAAAATAGCTGGGTGTTGTGGAGGGTGCTTATAGTCCCAGCTACTTGAGAGGCTGAGGCAAGGGGATCACTTGAGTTCAACAGTTTGAGGTTGCTGTGAGCTATGATGCCAGGGCACTCTCCCAAAGGTGACAGAGTGAGACTCTGTCTCAAAAAAAAAAAAAAAAAAGACAGCATTTGGGAACCAGATGGCCTAGCTTTGAAGTCCCACTCTGTTCACAAGCTGCAGGGTCTTGAGCAAGTTATTTGACCTTTCAGCCTCAGTACTCCTTTGCATTGAAGATGAAAAGCAAGAAATGTAGGAAAGAGGTCACCGTAGGGGGAAAAAGACTAGCAGCTGTGTCAGGTGTTCTGGTATGAGACAGATGTCTACAGGATGCTCTTAAGCTTGCCTTGGGATAATGGTCAGGATGTGTTTGCCTAATGAGAAATTTCTCATGGGAAAAGAATTTAGGGTCATCTATGTCAACCACCCAACCACCACCAGGTCCTACCCTTGGTAACACTTGTCCCTCCTAGAATCCCCACACACATCCCTACTGTTACTTGACAGGACGGTGAAGGGAAGGGGCCTACCATTTATGGAGTACTTTACCATCATGTATTTATTTATTTATTTCATTTAGAATCCCAGAGGATTTTTATTCTAAATGTTATCTAAATAAGTATATAAAAATATTCAGAATATTCAAGACAATTCTATTAACAAAAAGGGGAAGGAGGCAGAAGAGAAGTGAGAAGAGGACAGGTGGGCAGGAGGAGAGAGGGGAATATTTATTTATTTATTTTGAGCTCACAGCAACCTCCAGCTCTTGGGCTTAGGCGATTCTCTTGCCTCAGCCTCCCAAGTAGCTGGGACTATAGGTGCCCACAACACCCAGCTATTTCTTTGTTGCAGATTGGCCAGGGCTGGGTTCAAACCCGCCACTCTCAGTATATGGGGCTTGCGCCCTACTCACTGAACCACAGGCGCTGCCCACTTTATCAACTTTTAAAAGAGTAATATCAACAATAGCTGATGGTTAGTGCTTACTGTGTGCTATACCTGGCATAGTGTAAGCATGAACTCATGGAATCCTCATGGCAACTCTGCAAGATAGGGTCTGATATTGCCTGTGGCATTATGCCACATAATGCAACAGAAGCATATAAAGAGGTGAAATAATTAGTCCAAGGTGTACCCAGGATCTGATTCAAACACAGGCAGTTCTGCTGGGGGGACCCCTGCCTTGCCATTTCTGCCCGTCAGGCACAGCCTGCCTTGTAGAGGAAAAGCTCTAATTTCAGGGCAGAGAAATGGCATTCCATTTTTTAAAGGATGGTAAATTGCCCTATCTCAGATGGGACATGCCCAGGGGTGTTAGGGGAGGAGGCATTGAAGCTATGCAGAGCATGATGAGAAATAAGTTCACAAAGCAGCAAGAACAAATACTAAGTGCCAGGCATGGGGGCTCAAGCCTGTTAATTCCAGCACTCTGGGAGGCCGAGGCGGGTGAATTATTTAAGCTTAGGAGTTCAAGACCAGCCTGATCAAGAGCGAGACCCCATCTCTAAAAATAGCCAGGCATTGTGGTGGGTGTCTGTAGTACCAGCTGCTCAGGTGGCTGAGGCAAGAGGATGGCTTGAGCCTAAGAGTTTGAGGTTTCTGTAAGCTATGATGCCACGGCACTCTACCAAAGGTGAAAAAGTGAACCTCTGTCTCAAAAAACAACAAGAAGAAAAAAAGCCCAATTGTGACAATCAGAAATATCTCTAGACATTGGCATATGTCCTCTGTGAGGACAAAATTGCCCCCTCTTGAGAAATACTGGGATAGACTTACACTGTACAGTATAGTAGCCACTAGAAATGTGTGACTATTTAAATTTGAGATTAAAAGTTCAGTTTCTGGCCAGGCGTGGTGGCTTACTCCTGTCATCCTAGCACTTGGGAGGCTGAGATGGGTGAACTGCTGGAGCTCAGGAATTAAAGACCAACCTGAGCAAGAGTGAGACCCCGTCTCTACTAAAACAGAAAAATTAGCTGGGCATTATGGCGGGTGCCTATAGTCTCAGGTATTCAGGAGGCTGAGGCAAGAGGCTTGCTATAGCCCAACAGTTTGAGGTTGCTATGAGCTATGACACCATGGGACTCTACCCAGGGCAACAGAGTGAGACTCTGTCTCAAAAAAAAAAAAAAATTCCCCAACAATTAAAAAAAAAGGGAGCGGTGCCTGTGGCTTAGTGAGTAGGGTTCATATACCGAGGGTGGTGGGTTCAAATCCTGCCCCAGCGAAACCACAACAAAAAAATAGCCGGGTGTTGTGGCTATTGCCTATAGTCCCAGCTACTCAGGAGGTTGAGGCAAGAGAATCACCTTGGGCACCCAAGCCCAGGAGTTGGAGGTTGCTGTGAGCTATGTGACGCTGCCACGGCACTCTACCTACTGAGGAGGGTAAAGTGAGACTCTGTCTCTGAAAGAAAACAAAAACCCTTGCACTTAAAAAAAAAAAAAAAAGCTCAGTTTCTCTGTCACACTAATCGTATATGGGGGGGATAATGTAGCTATAGGCTATTTCCATAATTGCAGAAATTTCTGTTTGTTGGACAACACTGAGATTTATTTGTTTCTCAGAAGATCAGAGAAACCCAAATAAACCAGATACCTTAAAAAAAAAAAAAAGAAGAAGAACAAATACTAAGAAGCAAAGACTGCTTATTTTAGTGGTAAGTCTTACTGTCACTGGAAAACAGGTGCAGACACATGTCCCATCAGGTAAGGAATGCTGGGGCCCCCGAACAGGCAGCAGAGAGCTTGGGGAAGAGAGACAGGCCAACATGGGATCAACCAAGGCTTGTTGCCTTTCTCTTGATGACAGGCTGGAGGGACAAAGGTAGCAAAGCCCATAAATCCTGCAGAGCTGCCAGGGAAAGGGCTGCCTTTGAAGTGGTTGTGGGTGGGTGACAAAAGAGATTTCCTGCACGGCTATAGAACCCCACCTCCCAATGTGGAAAGTTGAGACTGCTAGACAAAAACAAAAGTTGTACCAATCTCTCAAATGGGTCTTTTTCACAGTACTTAAAAATATCTTTAAATACACAAAAATAATACCTATTGGCCATCAAGTTGGCTCAGGCCTGTAATCCTATCGCTCTGGGAGGCTGAGGCAGCTGGATTGCTTGAGCTCATGAGTTCAAGATCAGTCTGTCTCTACTAAAAATAGAAAAACTAGCCGGGTGTAGTGGTGCCTGTAGTCCCAGCTACTTGGGAGGCTGAGGCAAAAGGCTTTCTCAAGCCCAAGAGTTTGTGGTTGCTGTGAACACTGGGGTAAGATAGTGAGACTCTGTCCCAAGGAAGATGCCTATTCATTTCAGATAATCTAGAAAGGAAATTAAAATCACCCATATACTACATCCTATTGATATTGTATATACATACTTCAGTCTTTCTTATAGGCTTCTTTGTGATCTTATAAAGGACTACAAAAGATCACTTTTTAATAGGATTTTGTGTGTTTTTTAAAATGTTACA